TTTTAATGCTGAGGAGCAGCAGCTCTACGCTAAGCCCCCTTCTGAATAACTGAGCTCCTCACCTTATATCTAAGGATGAGCCCAGACACCTTTCAAAAGAAGCTCATTTCTGCTGCTTGTATCTGAGATGTTATTCTTCCAGTCACTACCCACAGTTCATAGCCATATGTGAAGTTAGGTAAGAACGTTTAACAGTGATGCTTCGCCTTCACCTTCAGGTCAGTGGATGTTGTGTTCACTGCAGTTTTTTCCTCTACAGAATTATTTTTTCTGTCAGTTAAAAAATGCTTTCTGGTTTTATTTCCTTTTTAACATTACATATACATGTAAAAAAAAAATTGCTGAATCTTTTGCAACTTTTCTTACTCAAGCCACTGAATATAATATGTCTGTCATGTAACAGTTTTTCTTTCTTCTTCGATTGACACGCGAGAGCTTTAATGGCACGTCAATGGCAGCTGCTCTTTTCAGCTGTGTTTAAAATGTGATAAGATACTGTATTTATGGACCAATTACATCAACTCTTATCCAAACACTTCCACACACACACTTTTGTGCATGCTGATTGCTGCTCTTTATTGATGAAGTCTTACTTGGTGTTGGACAACTGTGATTATGTTCTCGAAGTGGATCTCGGAAGACTCGGGAATTATAATGTTAATGAAATTAAACTTTGAGCGAGCGTGTCAGTTTCTGTGCTCTCATCCTGAATCACACGCAAGCAATCAGAGACCATTTAAAATTCCATGACAAAAAAAAAGGAATCCACACTCTTAAATTAAATGGCCAAATTATACACTAGAGAAAGTCGTTTTTTGAGTCTTTCCAGCAGTTTTATTTCAATGCAAGCATATTTACAATCAAAGAACTTCAAAAATAGAATTACAATATAAAACTCAGATATAGTAATATTATAAGATAACTAACTAACTTGCTGAAAGTCTACTGTGAAAAATAGAACATTAGGAGCATCGCCAAGTGCGCATTACAATGATTGAAGTACTTAAATTTGTGTCTTTAGCAGCCTTTCTGTGTGTATAATCAGACTGCATAATTCAAGATGATACCTTCAGTTTATTCAGTCATCACAATCTTTTGATTTACATAAAAATTGTTTTTATAAAATAAAAACACTGTAACTTCTTATCCTCTTTGGAAATGTGCTGTAAAATACCATCATGTCCATATGGACCAAAATCTCAGAGGAATGTTTCCATGACCTTGTTGAATCAGCGATGCTGAGCGATAGAAATATATATTATACTCACCAGCCACTTCGTTAGCTACGCCCATTTAACTGCTCTTTAAAACAAATATTGAATCAGCAAATCATATAGCAGCATCTCAGTGCATTTAGGCATGTAGACATGGTCAACAAGTTCAAACCAAGCATCAGAATGAGGACAAAAGGTTTAAGTGACTTTGAATGTGCTTTGGTTATTTGTGCCAGATGGGCTGGTCTGACTTTTTCAGAACCTCCTGATCTACTGGGATTTTCCTGCACATATGGACCATAATCTCTAAGGAATGACTCCAGCATCCCGTTGAATCTATACCACAAAGAATTAAGGCAGTTTTGAAGCACTTCAGTCCAACACACTGACACAAATACACAAGATCGTTCTTTTACTCTTTAATTATGAACACAAAGCCAACAACACAAAGCAAACTTGAAATCAGCCCAGAGAAACTTCAAAGCAAATTCTGCTTCAATTCTACTGTAACTGAAACATGTATAAGTAGAAATAGAGGCTCCACTATTACAAGTCTGATTGTTCATCGCTGCCTTACTGATGAAGTTCAGGCTTTAAGATCACACTGGGTTCTTTGCCAGTTTTCTGTTAGCATGCTGTCCACACAGATGTTTGCAAAGTGCAGATTCTTTGCCCTGGATTCAGTTTGCACTTTACCAACATACTCTTGTCTTCCCGTGGCATAAAAATAAAAGAAATGTTTGTACATCCATTCCTCAAAAGGTACAGACCACTCCATGTTCCTCCTCTCTGCGCACAGACTGAAATCAGCTGACTGTAGCACAAGTGAACAAGAAGAAAAAGACGTTTGACTTTTTTTTTCTTCCTATCCACCCATCTTGCAGATATCTGAAGGACCTTTTTTAATTATGATGTGATTATTGAACTTACTACAAATTACCAAAAAATCAAAAAGAGCAAAAACAGATATAGCATGTTTGAATTTTTAAAAGGGCATTTCTTTAGAAGGAACCTTCTAGTGTTGCAGAAAGGAGGAGAAAGACAGGTTGGACTCGTGTGTTGACAAAGAGGCAGGGAGTATCAGTTCATTAGGAGCTGCCATAAGTAATAGAAATGGAAAGAAAATGTTTGCACTCCTAAAATAAACTATTGATACTACAAGTTAGATGTAATTTATTTTAGCCGTCATTTTTTCCCTCTGTCATCTCCTGTATCTTCTTTGTGAAATGCAGCCATTTTCTCTCTCCCCCGTTGTTCGCATAGATGTTGCTAACACTGCAGACCTGTCAGTCATTCATCTCTAGGGGAGGCGGGCTCATTGCCTCAGTTGGGGGAAGTGGCTGAGCAGAATAGTTGATTGGCAGAATTGAGAGAGAGAGGAGACAGTAGGGTGGAGAGGCTTGGAAAGTGGAGCAGATGAGCACAGAGGAAAGAAAGATGTGGAGCGTAAACAGTCTCTTTAGGAGGTACAAACAAAGGCGGTCAGCATGAGAGGTACGGTACATACAATACACTTATGATATATATAAAAACTGAAAAAGAAGGACATATTTTTTGACAAAGCAGGGCAACATCTCAATGCAGAGATAAGCCTGGAGTGTTGAATACATTATAGGAGGGAATTCTTTTCTTGTTTGAAAAGAAACTCTGAGTAGGATGTAGCGACTTGATATGATTTTTAAAAACTGGCCGCTGGCATAATGTAAACAGACCAAACACCTTTTGTTGACGACTGGCTGTAGAGATTTTACTGAGAAAAAGAAGGTTTTAAAATAACTCCTTGGAGGTGGATATGTTTAGATAATTATCATCAAGTAAGACAGCCAGTAAGTAAAAAAAACAAAAAAAACAACAACCTAGTGGCGTTGAATTGTGAAAGGCTGTTGAGTTAAGTGGGAGATATGTGGTCTGAAAGAGGATGCTAATTTGTATTGCATAATGCATATATAACAGCTCCCAAGTTTTTAGGAACACGTATACCTTATTTTCCAGTGGCAGCACAAACATTCTGAGAAAATGTTTGTGACTAATGTCATCATCTGCTCTCAGTTCTGGTGTCTAATTTCTCTAAACACTAGCTATTTCCTGATATATTCTGGTTTTAGGTGAGATCCCTTTAAGAGGGTGCTAAAGTTTCAGCGCAGTAGTAATTTTCTTAAACTTTAGGTTTCTAGAAAAGGTAACAAAAACATTAGGAGGAAGAAGAATTAGAAGCATTAGAAGTTACTACTTCTGTGATGTAACTGTGGTCATGTAGAGTTCACAGAGAACCACTGATCTACTAGGTCAGGGTACTCAAGGACAGCTTGACAGAGAAAGGGAAAGTCTGTGGTTCAGAAGTCTCATTTTCCACTTTGAAGGACATCTCTGCCTTTGAGGTACTTTGCTTTTAGAGAGGAAGGTTTATCACTAACTGATAGCATTTCAAGGGCTCTGATATGGCAGTCATAAACTTGAGGGCAGGTTATAACCTGTGAATCAAACACATTTAGTTTATCAAAAGACTACAGTGTCAGAGAAGAAATGATGGAATGTGGAATATTCCAAATTTAAGCTGGTTGTAGGATTTTTCCACTATCTTTGCGGTGTCTGGGATATTGGTGGTCACAGGGAGATGCAACAACTGATTGCTTAGGATAGCAGGTGTTGCTGGGATATCTCTGAGAACAAATTGTACTGATAAAGAGAACTGTGCATAATGACACTTTGCTAACAGGCTAATTTAATTACTGCCAATTACTGTCTGGTTTCCACTGGTAATGTTTTTTGAAGTAGTTGTCAGGCAGATGAATCAGACCAAAAGGTCGGATAGATATGAAGTGCATGAAAGTGTTGATTTGTACAAGCTGAGTGGGAGCACATGCAGAGATGACAGGTGAGGCCACACGTAATCAGAAATGTTAACAGTGTAAATATATGCATTCAAAGAGCCACAACTTAAAGTTGAGGCAGCTGCGTTTCATTTTAACACTGCCTGCAGCAAAATCCAGGTTGAATTCGTACTGAGGTAGCCTAGATATGCAACAAAGTGAACTTACAGTACAATAACAGTAAAAGAGCTACAATAGGGTAGCTTCAAATCTATTGTAATCTTTTGCAGCATGTAACTGGAGAATAGTAAGATGATTGTAACATTACTAGAGCATGTTGTAGCTTTAAATACAAGCAGCTCTTATAATACATTTCTTAGTGCTTAGTAAGAGCTCTGTTTGCATATTTTGTATATTGGATTGATTGGCTGTTAGCATTAGCCATATTCTTGGCTAATGCTAACTCAATATTCAGTCACCAGCAAATGCAGTAATGCAAATTTGGATAATTTGATATGTAAATATGTATTCTATTCTATAAATTAATAAAGAGAACACTTGAAATTGTTGCCGTTTGTTGTAGAAGAGAGTTTTTTTTTTCCTTAAAACAAAGGATTTTTTTTAACCTATATTGCAAAACTAAGACAATCACAACAATGTGACGGGTCAGTGCAATGTTGATCCTGTACATTGGTTGAGTTTAAAAAACAAGTTAATCACCCTATTCATATGGAAAAATGATCCTTGCTCTTAAACTAGTGAAATGTGACCCGTTTCAGGTATACCTGTAATGAAAATCACTATGGAGGTACATTAAAATTTTAGGCACTAATTGTTTTGCATGATAGGCATGTGTTCTGTATGAATCGAAGACTAGGGTGGAATCTGCCAGTGGTTGTAACACATTGGTTCGTAGCTATCTCACCTTATAAGATAAATGTGCTGCAACCGTGACAGAATGCAATTCTCTCCCAAGGTGCCAAAGAGGTGAATGCAAGTGGGAAGACATTTACAGTACGGAGCTCTCTACAGCTGCAAGTGGACAGAAATGATGATGGAGTGGCCTACACCTGCAGAGTGGACCACGTGGCACTCACACAAGCACCACAGCAGGCCACTGAAGTACTGGAGGTCCACTGTGAGTGTAGACGCAAAGTACAGCACTCAAACACATATATGAAGTGTACACATGAGCATAATGGATAACAGAAAATTCAAACCAATAAAAGGCAGTAACTACTGTAAATAGCCATGGTAATGGGAGCTTTTATGGCTGTTGAACCCAGTTAGAGAACATTTCAACTAATGAGGCCTCCATCATTGTATGTAAATGCACTATTTCAGAGCTGATTTTCTGTGATCTTGCATTTATAATTTTACATTTAGGCACTAGTATTTTATTCAGTCAGTATCCCTTGGTCTGGGCAAAAATGTACTGTCCAATTGTCCAAATATATTTATAATATTTATATCACCCCCTGGGATTGTATGTGTGTGTGATCCAAATGCTGTGTTTTGAGGGTTCTGTTCACTATCCACTACCTTGGATGTTGTTCCTGGAATCTGCTGGAGCTACTTTTCTAGTTTCGGGTTTATAGCTCCCATTGCTCCTATTATCACTGGGACTACTTTGGACTTTACCTTTCAGATCCTTCAGCTCCTGATACTTCTCTGTTTTTACATGCTACTTCTTCTTGATCTTGTTGTCTGCCACATCTATCAGAACTTCAGTCTTCTTCTGCTTGTCAGCCACAACTATCACCTGGTTTGTTGGCCAGCAGCTTGTCTGTCTGGAAGTAGAAGAACCACAGGAATTTACCCCCTTTGTTCTACTCTGACATTGGGACTTGGGGACTTTTAGTCCATATGCAGCACAGATGTTCTTTGTGGTTGTTCCTTGGTTGTTGTTGGATCTTCCAACAAGCTGTTGCCAGCTTGGATCTTACACCCTGTACTATGTGTTGGATAGTCTCCAGGGGCCCTTTGCAAAGTCAGCAACTTGTGTCCTGTGGTAGACTCCTGTTATATGGATCTAGTGCTTAAGGCCTGCTTTTGTGCTGCCGCTACACCGTCCTTTACACTGTCCTTTTCTATCAACCAGTAGGGTTTCCTGATGTCAGCCAGTTACACATGTGGGGGCTTGGTTGTCTAGGATAATTCCTCTTCCTGTTCCTCATCACCATCCACCTGCCTGAGGCATGCTTAGAGAAGCTCATCTCAGGGGAATATATATATATGTATCCCATTTATGTCAAGAAAATGTGAAAACAATGTTTTATATTTTCTTCCCTCAATTTCAGCCGTCTCTCTGTTTGTCTTAGATGCTCCTCGTGTGGAGATCACCCATTCCCTTGAAGTCCCTCAGGAGGGTCAGTACTTGAAGTTGGAGTGTGTCTCCAAAGGAAACCCTTCGTAAGTCTCTAAAAAATTTCATTAATTGATTGACATCATGCTTTCATATAGTGTTTTATAGATTAGACCTAGATGCAGCATGCTTTCTTTCTCTTACATATTCTCTTACCTTTTAGGCCAGATCCTGTGATGTGGACAAAGGATGGAAGTGAACTTCCTGACCTGGACAGGATGATTGTAGAAGGAAGAGAGCTTACCTTTACGTCTCTTAACAAGACAGACAATGGGACCTACCGCTGTGAAGCTAGCAACCACCTAGGGACCAGCAGTGCTCAATATGTACTCTACGTCTATGGTGAGTTCAGGGGAAGCACTGAAATATGGATAATTGCATTTCATGACACAATATAAAAAAGTAAGTCAGTCAGTTACTAATATGACACCACTGGGGAAAAAAAGCTTCAAGAGGAAAACTTGGTTTCCAACAAAGCTATGTAAAAATTGTGAAAAGTATGAACCTCATAGGCATGAGTACAAAACACCATTCAAAAAATACAGGATTATAATACCTCCTGATCTGCATACTGTATCAATGCTAATAGTGATTAGTGGTACCATCCCTCACAGGGAGAATAAGGGCCCCAGGTGACACAAATGCCACCAACGCCTTTCCTTAAATAAACCTGTGTCCCAGATACACACGCACACACACACACAACACACTAGGAGGGAAATGTGTGAGAGAGGCAAAATTTAGTGCTGCGTTGTCAGGAATATCACCAGGAAGGATAAGTAATTCCTAGTAACGCCAGAGGAGGTGGAGGATAAAGGGACTCAGTGTCAGGGAAAACAGATAGTTCTTCCTCTCTTCCGCTTCTTCACTGCCATTTGTCTCTTGGCATTAAGTAATAATGCTTTAAAAAATAGCAAAGCAGTAAAACATCTCTTTTCACTGTGTTATAGAAACAGTGCGTGATCATTAAAAAACAGGTCATTCTGACGTTAAGAAGTGGAGATGAAGAAAAACATAGCATTAATAATATTACATGAGCTCTTTTATTTAAAAACAGAAAGTAATGAAAAATCTAATTACAAACTTTTGAGTATAAAACCGAGCTACCCGAGTAACACAGGTTACTATGAATAGGTCATAAAGGGCTGTGGAAACCTCAAGAGTGATGAATGACAGAACAAAATGAAATACTCGTTCATGCAATTAGATTTATTTAATGAGAGTGCGATGAACGTATAAGCCATTCAGCCTTTCTCTAAGTAAATGCTGTAAATTTTGAAATATAACGCAAGTCCACGCAAGCAGATGTTCGGGGATGTAAAAGGCAATACAAAATATGCTTATTTTATGCAGAATGCCATGTGACAAAATCAAGGTAAGGATTAGGTATAGAAACCTTACATCTTTCTAATTACTCATATCACTGACATTTAAACTTAGTACGCACACGCAGTATCTGCTGAGACAAGGTTACTGCAAAGATGCAAATGAGTTTCATTTGCTATATATATTCTGTCTGTCAGATTTTTGCAGATAATTGCTGATGCTTTTAAAATACCGTTGGTGTAGAGTATATCGCTCAGGTATTTAGTTAAAGATCCCTTCTTTGAGTTCAAAGCCACAAAATAGGATGAGTGAAGACTGATTATGTATACCATCAAAAATGTATGATACCTTTCAGCTTCAAATTCAAATCCTGTCCATAGGTTTTATTAAAGGAGGCGATTCTGAAACAGTGCTGTTAGAGACCTTTAGATTTTTTTTAACCTCTTTCATTCCATCAAACATTTCTTTTACTAGTTGATTAATTGTTTGAGCTGTAAAATTATCAGGAAATCCCTTTCACTGTTTGCTAAAAGCACCAGGAGATGTCTTTACATTTTTGTCTTTGTTTAAACTCCAAAAGTGCTGAATTCTTGAAAATTCTATGATTAATTAAGCAATTAGCTGTGGCTCTTATTTAATTAGTGGATTGCTCACACTTGTCATGGCGCGCCACCGCACCTAACAATTTCTTCTGAAGCTGCAGCAAGAATAACCAATGCATGTAATGACAGTGATGTTATTAAACTGACAAATTCTCTGCCAGAAAAAAGACAATTGGGTGCGGGAGGGTCAAAAAGTCCTATTCAGATTCATTACTTGTTCTCTTGAAATGGCACCCAGTCTGTTCCTATCCTTCATTAGTGATTATCACACCTTTTAGCCTTTCACAATTGCCTCCATAATTCTTGGAAAATACCTTTTTAATGGTTCTCGAACAAGGGGACATTTTCTCTCTTCCCTCTTTCCTGAAGACATGCAGTTAGCTGCTTAGTGAGTCACGCTAAGGCTGAAATGTCACCAAGACACAGAGGACAGTTGGCCCAGAGAAAGACTACGAGAGCCAATTAAAAGCTTCTGGATCACCATAAAATGCAGAGTGACATAAACATAAAAGCCAAGGTGGTAATGTAACCTCATTAACTTTGTCACCCAATGTTTCGCTCTCACTTTTTTCTGTAGCTTTAACATGTGACAGTGAGAAACGATCAGTTTTACTATTATCCTGTAGCGAGAAGCCAAAATTCAACACGGAAATGAGAGCTTAACCGATTTTTTTTTTTAATCCATTTGTCAGATTACGTTTTCAAATCATCAGCTGTCTTCCCTCTCACATGTTGAAAGGTTGCTAGTGCAGGGTCCATCTCCAGAGACAGTCGCCAGCATTAGCAGATTTAAGGTTAATTCTGCTCTTTTGCTAAACAAATTGCCTTCACAATTCAAAGACAGAATACTTGAAATCAGAGTTGACGGACAAAATGTAGAAGATTGGGACTCTTAACATCGCTGATCATTTCAGAATCAGTGAGAAAGCCTTACTGGCCCACTAAAACAGGAACAGTAATGCACTCAACTCATGTATGTTGTTAAGGGCATCACATTTCCTTATACTGGAAAAGGCATGCTTTCTTGTGCTGTGATCTTATGTTATATGCTTGGAATTGTGTCATAATTTTCCCTTTGTGTTTCCCATCACTGTATATAGTTTTTTTTTCTTTGTGTTCTTTTAACGTATCTAACTTTCCCCATGTGAATTCATTTTGCTGTTGTTGTATTTTGTGTATATGTGTTTATCTGTGCCCTCCACCAGACGCCCCCACCACCCTGCCTCCACCCACCACTCCCCCCCTACATCCCATCACTCCAGATCCTACCGCACTATTAGGCTCCCACGCCTCAGACCCCACAGTCACTGGCAACAGAGGTACAGTACCACCCCACGCATCTCCACAGCATGCTACAGCATAGTCTAACTTCCCTCTCACTTCCATATCTCCTCTGTTACTTCTTTGCTACTTCTCTACCTCAGGCATTCATATTCTTATTTCTTGTGGACATAAAACATGTGAAGACACTTATCGGTCATCCTACCCAATTATTGCCTTTAATTTTTGCTACTTAAACTATTTTCTCAGCTGAAGGACTGTAAACATTTTCTTTTTTATGAGCAATGATATATTTTTTTACACTGGGACAGACTTTTCTGAGTTTCAGAGAAACTCCAGGTGTTCAAATACTCTGTGTGCTGTCCCCTTGGAATTGCAAAGACTCCAGCACTTCTGTGCCCTGAAACCTCAAAGAAGCAAATGTCATGTCCAACTGAAAATGTCTGGCCACTGGAGATATCTCATCATGCCTTCTAATGCTGTGTTAACTCTTAGAGAATCCTAACTTGACATAGTCCCTTTGCCACTAAGGCTGCATATTTGGTGTTTTTAAAGTGGTCCCTGTACAGAACTAAGGCTTTTTTATTGTTCATCTTATGCCCTTAAACATAGATAAGACAGAGCTAATTTCATCATGCTTGTAAGCAGGCAAGCTCCAGTAAGCATATAGCAAGCTTCATTAAACTTTGTGCGTCCAATCATGCATGAACATAGGCGGGCTTAATGCTGCATTTGATAGCAACTGGGAACTAAGAATTTCCTGACTCTATTGAAAACAAACAATACTTTTACACTTAGTAAATCGGATACTGTTTCTGAACACTGACTCTGCATTTTCCACACATAAAATCTTTCTCATATTGCTTTTAATGGAGTAAAACTGTGACTTTTGCTTCTTTTTGGCTTTTGTGTTACTTTAGATGAGTAAACTACACTACATTCATGACCTTTTTTGTTTTCTGTAGAGGAAAAGGAAACAAAGAAAAGGTTGGGGTAGCCATGTTTTGTTTTTGCCAGTTTGTGCACTAACTTGGCAGAGGTTGAAAATGTTTTCATTTTGGCGTCCGTATTCTCACATACGAGGTAGATCAAATGCAGCATAAGGCCATGCTTCCCTTATCCCTGTGTACAACGGGGGACGGCAGCATCCTGTTCCAGCTCTAATGCGGCTGCCAGAGCCGATCGCTCCCACTCAAGACAATGCTTGCGATTCCACCAGACATGCTGCAGCCCGTTTCAGCAGCGTCTCAGAAGCAGATTACAGCTACTGATGACACAAGGCCCTGCAGCAAAGGGCTGGCATAACAATCTCCTCCTGCTAGCTTTTGGCTGAGTTTTCCACAGAAGTTTTCACTTTGCTCTCTGCCTTTCAAAAACAAGGGCAGCAGCAACCAGCCAAGGTTGCAAGCCACATGAATTATAATGCACTGAGTGGTGAGTCCCAGGTTCAATTCCAGCTTGACATTTGCAGCTCGTCGATCTCACGAGTAACATGATGTGATAATTAACAAAGTTAGTTGATTTTGACAGACTTAATTACCACTCGCGGCATCATAGGCTGCTGTTGCCACTCCTCAGTATACGATGCATACTCTTGCTTCAAAAGGAGTCAGTCCCACTTGAGGTCCTCTAGCACGTCCAGCTGAACTTGTTCAAAGAAGCCAGTTGAGTTTTTTTTCTTGTTATTTATTTTTTTTAGTTCTTTGGTTGTTTTCTGACCAAGAGCCCTACTGTATTTTTTATGTTTTTCCTTTTATTTTAGGAACAAAGTCTATTTGCATTGGCTAATTACACTGTGCTTTTCCTGAGGCCATACAGATCTAAGCAATACAAAAGAAAAGAAAGGCAAGAGAAAAGGAAAGAAAACAGAAAGAAGAGGAAAAAATAAAACCAAGGATCGGTGTGTAGCAGCTAATTGTAGTGTATTTTATACGACAGTTCTTCCTCTCGTCCATGAAATCTGATCTAAATTGTTTAATAAACTCTGTCCGTACTTTCCAGTAATCATCAAACATGTCCACCCTGAGTCTCAAATGAAATGTCAGTTTTTCCATTACAAAAATATCATGTATCACATTAAATCAGTCTTCTCCGTTGAGGCGCTCAGCCCTATACAACAGGGAGGTGACCCTCAGGCGGACACAGAAAATGCTGAAAGGAATCGCATATCCCACCTGTCTAGGGAAAGCATCAGGATCCTTCAGGAGGACACGGCTATGGAAAAGGATGTTTCGGCACCCCTGCGACACATAACTGGCAGTAAACAGATGCAGTAGATGAAAAGGATATGGCGAGCCTCTGGGCGGGTGTAGTTGCTTTAACCTATTTGCCAGGGCACAGATGCTGACATGGCACCACATCTGCTACAGTAGATTGATATGTCCACGTTTTTGAGTGACACGTCAATTTAAAGCTAATGTGCTGTGATGGCCCGTATGCAGAAGAACTTGCTCACTCATATATCATCTTCATCATGGTTTCCAAAGCTGTTATCAGTGTGTGACATGTTTTCCTGAAGTGATTGTGTAAACAATCCATCATAGTGTGATATCGGTAATAGCACATAAAAGAAATTTTGTTAACATATTTATAACGCTGTATATTTTCTCACAAAGCAACATATTTAACACTGTGTATTTTCTCACAAAACGTTGCACAAAATATGAGCTTTCAGTTCAGCAGCAATTAAATATACTTACATGATCTATGCATTCATACATTTTCTGACACTTATCGAGGTCTGAGTCACTGGGGCAGCAGCCTAAGCAGGAGTCTCCCCCTCGCCAGACAACAGCCACTCTTCTGGTGGAAAAGGGAGGCCTTCCCAAGCTAGTCAAGAGATATATTGATTCGAGGGTTACTGGGTCTCCCGCTAGTTGGAAGTATCCAAAACACCTCGCTTAGGAGGTGTCCAGAAGGAATTTGAGTCAGATAATTTAACTACCTTAGCTGGCTCATTATGATGTGGAGGAGTAGCGGCTCTACTCTGAGACCCTTGCTATCTCTAAGACTGAGCCCAGCCAGCCTCTAGAGGAAGCTCATTTCCACCACTTGTATGCCACAGCTCGTAGCCATAGCTGAAGGTGGGAATGTAGGTCGACCAGTAAAGCAGCAGCTTTGCTTTCACACTCAGCTCTCTCTTCTGAAATATTGAAAATTGACGATATAGTGAAATTCCAAACAGCACAAATTCTATTCAAAGCAAAAAATAAAGAACTGCCAGGTAATATTCAGAGTATGTTTTTTTTGAAAGAAGGAAGTTATAATTTAAGGGGTTTTTGTAACTTCAAAACAATGAAGGTACGTACTACAAGAAAAGGCTTTTGTGTTTCTGTTCAAGGAGTGAAACTATGGAACAAACTGAATATGGAATTAAAGCAATGTCCAAACATAAAACTGTTCAAAAAGAGTTATAAAAATATGATCTTCTCGATCTATAAAGAAAAGGAAAATATTTAAATTAAGTGAATGTCTCTATTTAAAAACAAACAAACAAAAATTCATGATGTGATATTATAGTATATAGTATATCAGAAATCTGTTCACTATTTTTATTACAAATTATATCAGTAAGGAAGCTGACTAAATATTCACTGATAATTTATGGGACAGGGGTGGGATTAAATAAGTGTATACTTCTTCCCACTCCCTTTCAACATGTAAATTAATCAGATTGTTTTTTTGTATGTAATTTGTATAGTATATTTTTTTTCTCTCATTTCTTTTCTAAATGTACTTGTATATTGTTCACATGTTGAAATAAATTACCAATCAATCAATCAATCTTCACTGTGACAGACTGGAGCATCATCCACATTACTGCAGCTGCTGAACTCACGAACCCCAGAATTCTTGAACTCCTTAATCGGGGAAGCAACTCTGTCCTTACCTTACCCTTTTCCAACTGAGAACCAGTATTTCAGACTTGAAATGTTAAATCTCATCCCATCCGTGTTAGGTGGTTGGGATGAAAGCATCTCATTGGCTGAAATCACCCTAATGACAAGCTGGATGAAGCCAACACACAAGATTCCTAGACCGCCAAACCCTGCACCCTCTGCTCCTTAGGTGTGCAAAAAATTATTGCCCATTACTTCAAATAAACGGTGAAATATAAGAGAAGAGAGTCACTGATCCTTTACATGCAGTTCACCCAAGCAGCTTTATTCATTTCCATTTATGTGTGTATGTTTTTTTTTCATCATCATCTAAGCAAGATATCTTCTGTCTTGTCTGTGCTCTTTTGCTCCCTCTCTTCATTCCTCTCAACATCATGGTCTCCATCTCAAAATAATTTCCTCTCATCACTGCTGCTTTCTGTAAATGACCGTCTTTAAAGTCCTTTGGGAGGCTTGACTCCCCTTCTACCTTTCCTCCGCTTTAGTCCCTCTCTAAGCTTTTGTTCAGTTATTCCTCTCCTTTCCGCTTCATCTCTTCTGCCCCCTTACATCTCTCTGAAGGCCCTGTTAGATAACAGTCTTCCACACATTGTTGGATGTTCTTCATCAGTGTGCCACAGTTCTTCTCTGATGTCTGTTTGTGTAGTTCAGAGACACAAGAGGAGCTGAGCCTCTCAGTATATCTACAGGGAATCTAAATATCAGACTCCTTCACTGCGTTCCTAGTCACAGGATACTTCACTATCTGTTTTCATCTGTCTACTTGATTTATTACCAGGTTTTTTATGGCCCTGGATGAAAGCAAACAACTGTGGAGCTTTACCAGCCCCATGACGTTTTGTATTTTTGCATAATGAAGTTGTCTTCCTCCACAGGCATGCTGTAGGTTCAGCACTATAGGCTGTATGCGTTCTCAGGTTTCCCTTTGTCGTTTCGGTGATCTTTCCTTCTGCTCTTTTATCAGCGTATGGGGTTTTGGGGTTTTTTTTGAAAGCGCACGGCTATCCCTTTATGCATTTATCTGGATACCAGCATTAGGGTTGTGGTTTCTTTGATTGGCTGTAGATGATTACTCTATGTAAGCCCTCACTTCTGCAAATTGCAGTCAATAAATTGGGTGGACAGTTATGCTGTTGGTA